TTGATATTACATATATAGATACTACATATGGACCACTCTCAAATTTGTTCACTTCATGATGATATCTTCAATTCTCTAATTTTGATGAATATTTTTGTCATTTTTGGTAAAAAGTGATATTTTCTTCTTGTTAAAAACCACAATCATTTATGGTCAGAAATGATATTTTTGAATTCTTGTTGAAAACAGCAAGTCCCATTGCATTGATACTATGCATATTGTTCATTTTCTAATGATATCTTCTGTTCTTTAATCAAAATGTGCATTACTAACAGCGGAGCTATCTCAGCCAAGAGGCTGCTTGTTTTTTTATTTGACAAACATTTTTCACATTGTAGATTTTTCATCTCAAAACACAGATGAAACTTTAACTGATTGGATTCATCAATTTTTAATATAGGCAATATGTACAGCGAGCATTTGCTAAATGCGAGACTGAAATAGACAAGGATCAAGTTGAGATTGTACTAAAGGGCACCTTAACTCGAGCCTTTAATGATGGAACTGCCTGGAGTAAAGACTGGAGTGATGAGAAATTACCAAAGTAAGTTTTAATATGTAGGAAAACTACTGCTTGTACTGTATTGACTCGTAATACTTTCTTAATTCTAATTCATGAGATTTGTATTCAAAGGAATGCGTTCAACAGTTTTTAGGCTCTCTCTTTTTCAGTATGGAAAATTCATGGTTATAGACTTTTTCTAAGACATTGCCTTTTAGATGCTTGTATTGTTAAGGCCCTTGTCAGCTCAATGCATATGCACTATGGCACAATAAGAGCGATATCTAGATCATGTTTTTTGGCTTTCTCAACTTCAGAGTTCACAGTGAAACTTTAAAAGAGAAGAAAATGATGCAATCCAATAGAGTGCAAGAAATGTTGCAGAAATCATTGCCGAAAGCTACTCCAGACAGACATGAAGGAGGGATTCAAAATTTTAGAAATAGACGAGGAAGGTCAACATTTGGTTTTGTAGGACGTCGTTATTCTCGCTCTCTGAGCAGGAGTCGAAGCAGAAGTCGAAGTAGGAGCAGAAGTAGAAGCAGAAGCAGAAGCAGATCACCATACTCTCGTTATTCCAGACGTAGAAGATATAGGTACGTTTGATGAAGTACCTGTTCTCATTTCACATGACGAATTATTGAAAATTGAGAAATCTAACAGTAAAAATTACAGTGGGGTCCTAGTGACTTTCATGAACAGTTCTTATGAATGCCATTATGTGGTCAAATAGCAAAAAATTTTCTCATGAATGCAAACTAGTTTGTATTCCAAAGTCTAACGCAACATCCTATTGTTAAAAATGATATTTTTACTGAATTGCAGTGGTAGTGGCAGTGACAGTTCTGAAAGAGACGACCGCCGTAGTCCAGATCACTTCAATCACAAATTTGGAAGAAGACGTGGGCGTGGACGTGGATTCCGCGGAATGGGTAGAAATGAGAAGACACCTGGAAGTGGACGAAAGAACAGGGAAAGAAACAATAGGTAAAGTTGACTTTCGCTGCCTAGAATCTGACGAGGTGTTTTAATATGTTGGGATTTCTGCCATCAACACGCTTGAAATTGTGACTGAAAGCTATTATTTAAATTCCCCCAAGCTAACAGGACTCTAAATGTAGGACAATATCATAGTTCCTCACATTGCTTCATAATCATATTCTTGTATTTTTCTTCTTACATGGTATTTTTCAATTTTGTAGGATAGAGAAGCGTGGCATTAAAGATGACGATCCTGAAAAGCAGGTTCGCATGGAGCGCCGTGCAGCTCGCTTCCAAGACATGCTAAAACAACAAAGACCTCCACGACAACAGAAGCTTTCCCTTAAT